CTTGTCTCTGCCAGCTGAAGCTATCGGATTACTTGTATCCTTTAAATAAAGGATATAAGTTTATGGCTAGGGAGGAAAAATGACTAGTAACATTGATTGACATAGAAAACGAAGTGAGGTGCTGTAAAATTAGTGCTGAAATGATTTAGCAGGATTGTTTACAAGTTGGTGTTACCGACTGAGCAGGGATGGGTGTTACAGGTCCACCTTTTTTAAAAGGAAAAAGAGGGTTTTTGAGAGAAATAGTATGTTAGATCTTTCACTATGTAGGAGAAAGGGTATGATGGGCTGAGTGTGTGAAGGGGACCCTAGTAAGATTGAAACTATTCAGCATGGTCAGACAAATCATCAGAAAATTGTAATTTAACCAGTCTCTCAGTCTCCACTTTTTTTTTTTTTTTTTTTTTTTTTTTAAGCACTTGAAGTTTCTCTCAAAGCAGAGTTTAAAAGGAGGGTGTCTGTACTGCACTGTCTGACCAGAGCAGGTTCTATACCAGAATAACCCTGTTGACTTCCAAGGGGCTGTTTTAACAGAGATTCAAATCTGGGCTCACCAGTTTAAAGAAAAAACGTACAAATGAGAATTCCTCTACCTACAAATGCAATCCGGTGCAAGCACGTACTGAAGTGGGCAGTGCTGCTCTCTCCTACTCTACCAGTGTAGGACAGGAAAAAGCTTTATAGAAATGACCCCGCTTGAAGCGTGACACAGAGCTATGCAAGCCATCATGGAGCTCAGTGGGCCTAAGTTCAGTATGACTTTGCTCTGTTTAGGAAGAGGCATCGGCATGTAATAATAATTCTGTAGATGACCAGAGGTCCCTGCTTCTTTGTCTAGAGGAAGAGATTAAAGCAAATGGTTACCCGTATCCCTAAATACGTTTTATTATTTTTACGTATGTAGATATGCAGATATAAAACTTGTAAAGGGTGCAACCAGCTTCATATTTAGATTTTAGAGATTGAAGTGAATACCGATTGTTGCTCCTTCTCCTGAAACTTCAGCTAATGGCTATTAACCTTGCTTCAGATAAAAAAAGAAGAAAAAGCAAAGTCAGGCACAAACTAGGAAATGTGTTTAGCATAGTAAAAAAAAAAATCTAATGTGGTTTGAGCAGTGTTTATAAATCCTTGAGAACATTTCTCATGATGTCATCTTCAAATGTTCCTGAAGATCTCCCTGAAATTCCCTTTTATTTATTCCCATGCACAGAAAAACAAAGCCCTTAATGGTTGGTGCTCTCCAGACCCTTTCTAAGAACCTTGTGCCTTACTGGTAACCTTTTCTGCACTGTCAAAAATCTACAGTCTAAGGCAGCTCTGAAGTCTCCCAGGTCCTAATCTAAATGTAGAGTTTTATTAATCACTGAGCATACTGGACTGGGTTTGCTGGTCGAAACAAAACCAGGCATTCTGAAATGCTGACTTGTTGACGTAGGCCCAACTAGCATTTCAAGAAAGAGCTTTTTCATGTGTCTGCAGCAGCTATCACCTGCTTTACCCCATGAGGAGGGCCCCATTTGAACACTACCTTGTAAGAATGTTTTCATGGCTAATTAAGATAATTAGGCTTACATGAATGGTCTAGAAGCAGGTGCTGGTAGATGTGTTGAGGAGTTAACATCTTGTAGTCTCCAACTGCCTTGCACTTTGCACTTTCAGGTGGATGCCTGACACTCATATAGCACTGGAATCTGCTCAGGGCACTTTGCTACCCTTACCTTCCCGCCTCTCCCTTCCCAGACAATTGCCTTTTAAAATGTATCTGGAAACATCAGAAGTGTTATTACTGTAAAAATCACTGTGAAATGAAAAGGGATAGGAATCAGCTATTTGTGTAGCAGGGTCTTTTCATGTCTCTGCATGGACTTGCCAATTAGGGTTCTCTTTTCTTAGTTGGAGATGTTAACCTGTGTTGCTTTTATCTCGGGATCCCTGCCCAGGTTTCTGAAGTGATTTGTGGTCATTTGAGATCTTTCTTCGGTTTTGTCGCTTGTTCCTGGGAGGAAGAGTGGCACTGATGGGAAATGCCTTGCTATTTATAGACTGTCTGGGTGTTATGTCTCCTGTGGTTATACAGAGGAGGCACCATACTGTCTCTCTACTTCACTTTTAGACCACCCATCTCTCAGCCTGAGTTTCTCACCATGGCCTTGCTGCTGAGAATTTTTGTCTGATAACTTTTAAATTACTTTTTTTTTTTTTTTTTATAAATACATTGTATTTGGAAGACACTAAAGGACTAGACAAGACACTTAGGGTCTTGTCTAGTCCTTCATTTTGATGCTTGCCTTGGGGTCCTGGTTACTGAATGTTTAATTTGACATGGCTGAGTGGGATTTGGGATCCTTTCTATAGGATCCAGAACATGGAGTGAGCCTGGGGGCTTGATGTGTACCAGTATCTTACCCATTTTAGATGTAGAACGCAGCTAGGGCAAGTGCCTGTGACAAGGAGTTGGGACTTGCTCCTGGGTACAACAGATGGCTACTCTTTCTGTCTGTTTTCAGTTATCCACCTAAGCTTCTCTGCTACATATTCCAGTTATATTAGCTCACATTTTTACCTTTACTCAAATTTTTTACTGCATCGTAGGAGAGAATCTGAAACTGCAATGTAAGAATGAACACTTGGCTCCTTTTTAAATGCTGAGACTGAACTCTATTAATCCATTGATAGAGGGCATTCAGCTCCAGAAATAGTTGTGCAATACTTGGCTGAAATTCTCTTGATTTCCTTAAATTTTACTTTGTTCTACCCTGATTCACTCATGACATTCTAGAGTTTATATTAACAACAACAGAGTTGAAATCCTGACCCTCTTGTAGCCAATGGAGAATCCTTTACCTAAGGTTTCATACCAGATACCTCACTGTGGCCACTGTATCCCAAAAATGTGTCATCCTCTGGCATCTTTACTGGAGCAGGAAGTGCCATGGGGATTTCTCAGACCAGAGGGACATGTGGGGCAGCCTTCCCCTGAAATAGCTAAGGAGTATGGGCAGTTCCCTAGCTTTGACTTACTAGGATGACAAAGCTGTCATGAGAAGGTTTGTTGGATAAAGGGTCTTGTCAAACCTAGGCACTGGCATGTCCATTCCTTCCTGGACAAGAACAATTGACAGAACAAAGTGATGTTTTGCCCTTCTCATTGTAGTTTACAGTGAAATGAAGTGGGGACAAATCTTCCCTTCTCCTGAAGGGGGAGGTTGGCACCTTTGGCACTGTTGTGAGCTTGCCAGTGAGCTCAGTAAGAGCAGTGCCTTCTCTGAAGGGAATGTAGACTAGTGTATTCAAGCTTATCCTCCCCACCTGTAGATTTTTGGGCTCAGCCCAAACCACCTTCTCTTTTTCTGTGTTAGGCAAGCTACCAGACCATGAGTTGGGTCAGCAGAGATGCAGATGGCACATCCTGGTCTGATGCTACAGGTGTGGTAGCTCTGGAAAAAGGCAGGGCAGAACATTGTGACAGCACTTGTGAGTGTTGAAACAACTGAATCTCCTGGAGCTGTAAAGGAGTGAGGAATTTAGCTTCAAATAAGGAATCTGGTTTAATTCTTGCATTGTTTCCACACCTGTGTAATCTTCTCATCTCCCCGAGCTGTGCCTGGGAGAAAACCACTCTGTTTTGGGAGCTGACCTGTGTGATCTCTGTCTTGTGCTTTTCAAGCTGTGAATTCCTCCTGAATGAATGTACCTCTTACCTTTCTGTGCATGGCAAACTAAAACAAGTGATGCGCAAGCTCTAGACAAATGCATTTTGTTATCTAGGCCGGCGGTGTGCATGGTGAGAAGCAATGCCTGACTGACACGTGCACAGCAGACAAATTTCATCATCATTTGAATTGACTCAAACTGTAGCCCATGCCTGTGTGTCAAGGCATCTCATGCTGGGACCTGTTGAGGGAACAGAACTAACTTACACAATGAATTCTTACTAAAACAAAGGTAATTCCAAACTTTGTATTGAATATCTAATTAAATATTTTCCTAATGCAACATTCCCATTTATAATATGCGAAGCCTGACTTTAGTCTCCTGGGAGCAGGCCAATAAAGAATAGCATTACAAATACTTATTTAACTCTCTTGTTCCTCGCTGGCTTTATATTAATGGGTGTGCAAAACAGCATGAAAGCTACAGGGGAGAAAAAGCCCCCCAGGAAATCCTTTGTATCAGGATGAATTGGAAAAACAAACTCTAGGGTGTTAATTTGCCATGAATCGCTTTTCACATCACGTGCAGAAAATGAATGAGGCGTCTGTGAATCTAATTCCCTTTGTCCCAGTTGTAAAGCAGATCAGCACAATAGGAGAGGCACAAGGCCAGCAAAGCAAGAGGTGGAAAGCAGGCACCATTCAGTGAATTCATTCTCCACCATTCCAGTGACACTCGCCCCTTTTCTTCTCTACAGATTTAAAGAACAAGCAAACCCTACGGTCACTGGGAAACGCTGCTGTTAACGCTGCTGCTGAAGTCTCTCTAAGCACGGTGGCAACGGTGGACAACACGAACCCTTCCCACTGTCACGCCAGGTCCCTTGTCACTCCAAGTGGGAGGACAAAGGACATCACTGCAGCCTCGCTGTGTGTTAGGAAAGGAGAGGAGATCAGTGTGTTGAAGTCCGTGTCGTCCCGGGGTTGTAAAAAAGATAAAGATCTAGGGTCTTCCTCTTTTTTTTTTTTTTTTAACCTAACTTCAAGATAAAAATCCTAGTAATTTCTTTCATGCTGAACAGGGTTTTTGACAGCTGTTTATTTTGAATAAGGTTACATTATTTCCTCTTTATTGTCTTCTATCTAAATACAGTCAGGGGGGTGTGTGTTAATCAAGCAAACCAGCTATATTTGAAAGATTAAAAATATTCTAGCTGCAAAACCCAGTGCTGGCTTGGGACTGTAAACCTTCTATTCATTGCCTGGCTTATAAGCCTCTCTCTCTGCACAAGAACAACTTTGTTGCCCAGCTAAAAGGAAAATGGAAATTTAAAAAATTCTCACCACAGCTTTTGTAATGTATTTCCAAGTTGTCCTCTTTGCAGACTGTGTGCGTAGGCCATTCTGTGCTGGCATTGATGTGAAGCAGGACTAAGATGAGAACGAGAACATTTGATGTTTTCATGGTGGTGGTGGCAGGTTGCAGGTTTACTTCTCTGCCTCTCGCTAACCCTCTGTGGAGGGAGGTGTTCCTTCCTTTCTCCGAGGGAGACAGGAGTTAGTACATTCGTGCCTGCGGAAGGGTTAAGCGAGCCAATGCAGCCTCAGCTTACCACGACGTGGTATAAACAAGAGGCTAATCAGAATTGGAGGGTGCTATTTCCGTGTGCTTAAACTTCTGCTTTCTGCTTCATGTTAGTTTAAACTACTGACAAATGAGCTAATCACACCTACTCACTGCATGGCAGAGCCCTGCCTTGGTGCCTGCTGGAACAATGCAGCAAACTGTTTAGCTCTTCTCTCGCTGCCAGTTTCTTCTCGTGAACTCAAAGCATTTGGGTCAAGGCTTCAAACAGGCTTATTTGGCCCTTCTGGCAGTGAAACGTTGCGATCCAAGTCAGCTCATCTTAATCGCAGAGAGACAGACCAAATTTTGCAATGTGGACAGTTTGGTTTCTATGTTCTTCTTAGTAACAAATATGTCTGCTAGAGGGAAGGAATGTGTCTGATAAAGCTGACACCAAATAAGCCAGCCTTGAAACTTTTAGGAATGAATCTTTTCTGCTTGACTGTGCCAAATACTGCATTTGTGTTCATTTTTCTCAGCGGTTCTTAGGAATGTACTGTTCAACAGTATACCTAATCAGGTAAACCTAGACTTCCTTCTGTTTTCCTGGTTATTTAACTGTCCACTAGTGACACTGCATTTGTTATTTGCACTGGCTTTTTTAAAGCTGTGCTTTATGCAGAAATTAGTGGCTCTTGAAGATGGCAGGGAATGATCAGTAAGGAAAGGAGGGGAGGACTGCTTCATCTCCAGTAAACTTCTCCGATCCAGTCAAAAATCCAGGGTTGGAATAGAATTTCAAACTGCAGTTGCCAAAAAGGTCTTTTCTGGACAGAGCACTCGCTGGAAAAAAGCTACAAGCTAAATTTCTACCCTAAAGCGAATGTCTGCAAGAGTCTTCTCTGAGCTGTAGATGACGAGAAATTGGCTCTGAGCATGACAGAGCTGGATAAAAGATCACTTTGGCCATCTCTGCCTGTCTTGCTCTGAAGGCTGTATCATTTGTTCTGCCACTTAGTGAAGTTGAAGCGGGGATAGCCTAGGTGTTTTAGCAAACAAGAGAGCATCTAACAAGATAATTATGAAATAATGCTAAACAGTAGAGCTGTTCCTCAGGCAAAATCCTGGCCTGAACAAAGGTAATAAAAGAGATCCCATAGATTAAAGAGAGGGCCAAGATTTCAACCATGATGCATTAAATTCACTGCCAGTTCAATGCATCTGAGAGACCTTGCTTTGAATAATGAGGCTTAGGCCTGCTTTGTGGTTTTGGATACTATCATAATGGTAAACTATATGTCCAGAGCCAGGGTAAGAATCCAGGCAACTATCCTTAGGCATGGAAACACATACCAGTCACGTAAAGAGATTTGGGCTACAGATCTGTTTGGTTTGACTGGACTTTGGTGGTACCCAGCTGGTAGCTGATGAAAGCAAGCACAATTGGAAAGGGAATAGTAAGGAGAGACAATGTCTGGGATTACTGTAATATCTTTAAACTGGAATACATAAAGTAAAAGTCCCTTCCCACTGAGGTCTACAAAGACAGTGAAAATTTGGTATAGCAATTTATTACAAAAGGCAAAGTACTTCAGATCAGGACTGTGAGAACATAACCTTCAGATTTTTTTTAGGAATGACATCATCATGGTCCTTCGTTTAAAATATCAGTTTAATGCTCAATAGCAATGAACAAAGTAAATCAAATTATAGGGAAAATGCTTCAAAGAGACCTGCTGGGGATTACTAAACAAACCAACCAAATCAGGCTGAGGACCTCTCCTGAGATGAAAATCTTTGGAAGCTGGGAAAGTATGTGGGAGAAATACCATACATACTTGCCCTGCTCCTACTCTGCTCTACATGCCTACTTGTTCACACTGCTGGGAACAGGTTACTGTGTTAAACAGAGCCTTGGTCTGGACTAGGACACTTTATCTGAACTCTGGGCTTGTTCTTTACCTCCCCTTCCCTCTGCCCACCCCATCCTGTTGGAACAGTGTTGCTGGTGCTCATGGCTTTCGACATGCTGACTCAACGCAGTCTTTTGTCTTTGCAGAAGCCATCTGGGAGCTCTTCTGCAGATAATCCAGGAGTCTGGGCCTTGCCTTGCAGGCTCCAGTCTCAGCACAAGCAGATGACAGCCGGGGAAAGTGGAAGAACACTGGCCTTCCAGGATACAAGTCTTCCTGCTTCACTGGAAGCAGGATGGCTGGGGTAGATCTCCTAGCAAAAACCAAATATGGCTTTGGAGATGAGCTCAGATACACAGGCGAGTGCCTGCACTGTTTCCCCGTCTGGTGCATAGACTTTTCCTCTTTTGAGACAGCTACTTCATCCTATTTTTTTGGCAGCACTCCTGACAGTGACTCAAAATGACAAGTCACAGGATTTTTTTTGTGTGTGTGTGTGAGGTTGGAACGTGTGTCTCAAGTATTTTTTGGGTAGCCAATGTTCTGAGGGGAAACATCCATGATGTTTTGGAAAGCTGCACTGTCACTTCCACTTTGCCCCACCATGTTGTTCTCAGTGGGAAGGGAATTTTTCTTTGAGTGGTTCAAGTTTACAATGTGTATCCCAGACACTGTTTCGCCATTTCATTCTCTGTGTAATCTTTGTATCTCCTAGAAGGAGCTTTATTACCAACTCCATCTGTTCTGAGAACTGCTTTCCCTTCAAACAGCCAAAGCCTCTGGGGTGAGAAACTACATCTAAACGAAGTGGTATCAGTGCTGGCAGTGGGAATTCTGTTTTGGCAGGTTGCTTAGCTGGCCAACAAGCATGTTTCTTTATCTGTCTGATTGAAGGCTTTGACCATGTGGATAAGCATCTAAAAAATGCCTGTAAAGAAAGCTATTTACTTAGAGGGTCAATGGCTGCATAGATCTACAACACTCTTCACCTTGCTTGGATGCTTCTGCAGTACTAAAGAGAGAAAAAGCCTCATTTCTTGTCAAGAAGATGATTACATCTGTAATATAATTGGGAAGAGTAGAAGTTACAAAGCTAGCAGACTAGTAAGCAGATAAATCTTACATCAAAATTCTTGGATTGGCTGATACAACATTGGTGATATTACTGTGTCACACATGTCTGTTTCCCCCCTCCCATCCCCAAGTAGCTTATACCACTAGCCTCTCATACCTATAACCAATAGCCAGTACCAGCTTCTTGCAGAAAGTATAGCTATAAATAGGTTGTGTGGGGTTTTTTGGGGGGGAGGAGGTGGTGGGTTTTGTTCCTTGTTACTTCAGGATCCAGTTCTCCCCTTTTAGATTGTAGTCAATACTGAGTCATAACTGTTTTAATAGACAGCAGCTTCTATTGATTAAACAACATACTATTAAGTAGCCTAATTATAGGTATACTATTAATAATAGATACTCTTACCATTAATTTACATCTGTATAATTTTGTGCAGTTAAAAACAAATATAAAACTAATTCTCAGATCTTATAAATCTATTTTATTATAATTTTGCTGCTGTTCCCACCCATGCTACTTGGTGCCAGGGTGCAAGCCTGTCTCACTCTACTCACCCCCACTGCATCTTTCAGTCATGGACCTACCTAATAGAGAATTGCGTGGATTGTCTGCAGGCACAATCCAGTGTTCTGGTGGGCTTGGGTGCACAGGTAGGTTCAGCACTGTTTTTGGGTGCTTGCAACAACTACTGCCAGAAGACCCCACCCTCTTTTTTTCTTTACCTGACTTTGTCTTACTTCCTCTTCCCTGTTGCAGGACCCGCCCTTCTTCTTACCTTTACCCTCTCCCTTTCTTTATCCCAACTTTTGCGAACAAGCAATTCACCTACGTTTTTGTCCTCATTGGTCTCAATTCTGCTACATCTGTACTCAGATTTGATGTTTCCAACAACTTTATTTGGGCAATGATGGCCTTATGGAGTACACTACTGGTGCAGTTACTGAGGCACAAGCAACATCCTAAGGCTGCATCCCAAACTCCCCTACAATTATCTTCTTCATACTAGCAACACTTTCAATTATTATTATTTGATATTCACTAAGGCAAATTATTCTACGCTAGCCTTGATTTCTCTACCTAGCTCCAACTGCTGCAAGCAGTTCCCTATCTGAGGCACAGCCTGCACACCAGAGCAACAAAGCAATGTGGTTTTCATGCTCTGTTTTGTGCTCACACAGCATCCTTGCCCTTGAATTGTTTTAATTACTCTCTGGGTTCCCTGCAGAGGTTTACCTAGTCATGTGGCTCGGTGTTCCAGCGGGGCCTCTTGCTTGTGTTCATACAGCTGCACCTTCTCCATGACTTTTGCCAAAATAGTTATGGGTATGTTGTTTTTCCTATGCTCCTAGATAAGTAGTGTTTGCAAAACTTTTTCAAAAGTAGACCTGCATAGTGCTCCACCTGATCTCAGCAAGGGGGTTTCCTCTTAAGAGCTTCTTTTCTTTAAATTTTTTTTTTTTTCTTCTCTGTTTTGCAAGTCCAGTACAAGGTGAGTCCTAAGCAAAGTTGAAGTTCTTTTTCCAAGTCAAAATATCCTTTTTTTGCCTGTGGCATCTTTGTGTACTGCTGTATGATACAATGAAACATTTCTCCAGGGCAAGCTTCATGTTAAAAGCTTCGCTGATTTCTCCTCCTTTTTCCTGCAATTTTCTCTGAACCAAAGCTTTCTGCTCCGTATTTTCTTAGCATGGGATCTCCTACAAGAGAAAGGCAGTGAGTGGAAATTTCTCAGCAAATAGATGAAACTTTTCAGAGGAAGTGCCTTCACTCTTCATAAAAGTCAACTTTTCCTACTGCCCTACTAGTAATGGTGTGCTTACTGTTTTACTTAAAAACCAACAAGGCCTAGAAATGCAATGCAAGTTAACGTGCCCCCCCCTTCCCCGCCAGCTGCACGTGAGAGAAGGTGAGTT